ACCACCAACGGTCGTTGGTCGATTGTAAAGGAACGATACCTCGTTAGGTAGGAATAGGAACGAACACAAGACATAGCTCACAAATACACACACACACACACACACCACACCACACCCACCCACACACACACCCACCCTACTACTACCTTTGGATTAGAGTTAGGCCTCTCCAGAAATCCCAAGGACACTAGATTCCACACCAACCTACCTATGAAGGACCCAGAACCTGTCAGAGGAAGACGAGCACCTTCCTGATCCCACCCTCAGCAGGGCCTTCTCCCTTCCCCAGTTCCTGTGTGCCCCAGGAATCAGGAATTCAGATCCCCCACTCCTACCTCATCTTCCGGAGAAAGGAATCTAGTAGGTCATCTGATCCCCACCCAAGAGTCAGTCCTTTAAGGTCACAGAGATAATTTCCAGGGATAAGAACGGGATCAGCATGCCATCTTCCCAGAAGCTTCTCATCTAGTCAACAACAACGGATGTGCTGGAACCTTGCCTCATGGAGCTCAGAGCAAGGGAGCCGAAGGCACTCAAGAGTGAGTACTTCTCAGGGAAAACAACAATCTCCACAAGCCCCACCCAAAACTCCTGCCTCACCTGTCCCACTCCCTCTCCAGAGTTAGGCCTGAACCCAAGAGGAAAAAGCTCCCCTGCAGCACTAATAAGCCTTCCCCCACTCCCAGAAGAGTTGGGCGGGCCTACCCTGCTTATTACGAGGCCTGGCTTTAAGGCAGCACCACTTTTCCTTTCACTCCTGGCACCAAGCCATGCAGGTTACTCTACACAGGCATGTGCGAAAATACTTCTTTTCACGTGTCTGTCAGGTGAGCCCAGGCATGCGTGAAAATAAAATCAGGAAACAGCTGAAGAGCCTGTATTGGCGCATAGGGGTCAGGTGCAGGCTGTTCATTGATCAGTGAGTGCTTTCATGTGCGTGATGGGCACATGTTTGCAAACTCACTTGTTTTTCTCTTGTTAATCTGTTTTTTTGCCAGTCTAATTGACAAGGCCTCAGCCAGAGAATATAAAATAGGTAGAGGAAAAGCCTTTTTCCCCTCCCTCACATTCCTTTAAAAGAAAAAAGGAGCAGGTGCAGAGACTTAGGTTGCCCTTTTCCACTCAACTCAACGAGGAAGCAAGCAGAAACTTGGCCCCAGTGGCTACTCCAGCCTCCCCCTGTTCATCAGACCCTACTGGTGGGGAGGGGGGATCAGGCTACCAGGTATTCTTTTTAGACTTCTGACACTAGATGTGTGGGTTTTCTATACATCAAACAGTTCTGCAACAGCCAGCAGATCTGGTGTCTGCTACAAATTAATCAATTCTAATATTACCTGGAGATGATAGCAACAGATTCCCCAGGTTAAGGGCTCAATTCTTTAAAAAAGCCGCCCCCGCCCCCGCCCACTCCCCACTTAAGATGCCAGTCACAAGGCCAGGTTGTTCCTGTGCTACTGACCAGCTGGCTATAAATCAGATGTTCCCACTACCCCCTCCTTGGGTTTAATTAATTTGCTAGAGCTGCTGATAGAACTCAGGAAAACAGTTGACTTACTAGATTACCTGTTTATTATAAAGGATATAACTCAGGAACAGCCAGATGGAAGAGACGCAGAGGGCAAGGTAGGGGGAAGGGGCCAGGGCTTCCATGCCCTCTCTGGGTGCACTCTCCCAGCCACCTCCACATGTCCACCAACCTGAAAGCTCTCAAAATCCATTTTTTTGAGTTTCTTATGGAGGCTTCATCACAAATGCATAAATAACTGAATAAATCATTGCCCCTGGTGATTGGTTCAACCTCCAGCCCCCTCTCCCCTCCCAGGAGGTCAGGCCTGGACTGAAAATTCCAACCCTCTAATCATTGGCTTGGTTCCCCTGGCAAGCAGCACCCTATCCTTAAGAGGATCTAGACGCTTTCCAAAAATCGCCTCATTAACATCAACTCAGGTGTGTTGAAAGGAGCTTGTTACATAAATAACAAAAGACATTCATTTTACCTTTATTGATATGGAGATATTTCAGGAACTGGGAACAAAATTAATACAACAAAAGATGACTCTACGGCTTTTATTAGACAATTACAGGAGCTGTGTGACAGGGACAGTGGACAAAGACCAAATATATATTTAATCACAATATCACGGGGAGGGAAAAGAGGTAAGCTCATTTCACTGGAAATTAAAAATAGTATAGGTCTTTTTCATTCCCTCGTCTTTGGAGACGGCCCGCACTCTGTCTATGGAGTGTGTACCTACTTTTACTTTAACCTGAGTACACAACCCTCACACCTCGTGGCCTTTCTCTTGCCTTTTAAAATAGCCTATATATGTATCTCTCTAAATAAATCTACCTTTACTCAAAAAAAAAAGTATAACATACAATTTCCCTCACTTTTAACTTCCACTTAAGATGTAGAAAGCTGGAAAAAGTGTCCCTCCCATTCCAATGACAAGAAAAAGTCAGACAATCTACAAAACTTAACTTTTTTTCTTTTAATTAAGTGAACAGCTGCTTTATTGCTCAGAAGGGGAAAAGGAAGGAAAGTGCTCAAGCAGGGAGAAAGGAAGAAAAAGCACCTAAGCGGGGAGCCATCAGCCAAGATGGCAGGTACCGACAGCTCCCTTGAAGTCATTAAAGAGCTGAGGTTACAGGCCAACCAACCAACCAGACAAATTTAAGGAAAAACAGGTATCTCCAAAAGAGATGCAAGTTCTAGCTTACCTGCAGTGGAAGGACAACAATGGAACGACCATACAGGCAGGTAAGAAGAATTCAGGTACAACTTTTAATTAATTACTAAAGGTCAAGTGTGGGTTAGCAAGAGCCACAGACACTCAGAGGTTCTCCTCCAGTGAGACTTCAGTGGGTGTTCACAAGAATTACGAGGCCAGAGAAAGCCTCTGAGTAGTGCTGGCCTCAAGGAGGAAAGCAGTCACTGCTCTGGGAAAAATACAAAGGTCCACCTGCTCCCTCTCTAAGGAATAAAAATCTTAAGCCCCTGGGAAAAGGGCAAATTCTGTCATCCTCAAGGCAGCAGGGGACAGGACAAAAAAAAAAACTTCTACACCTGCAAGGAGGGACAGGAAATTCTGGTCCAGACCATTAGAGGTGGCAGGACCACCCAGAAAGATCCACCCACCCAGATCCAAGGAAACAGGGCCTGCCTAAGACTGAGGTTGAACCGAGACAACAGAGAACCCCTCCATTCCTCACCACCAGGCTAGCAAGCACCCAGCAACAAAGCTGTGGGAGACTATGCACTGAAGCATATGTGCACAAAGAAGACCTAAAGCCCAGGGTTTACCCTTCAACAATCCAACCCTAAGGGCAAGGAAACACCAGAGGAATTTGAAAACACTGGTGCACCTACAGTAACCATAGCAACAAGAAAACACAAATGGTGGGGAGGGTATAGCTCAAGTGGTAGACCTCATGCTTATCATGCATGAGGTCCTGGGTTCAATTCCCAGTACCTCCTCCAAAAATAAGTAAAATAAACCTAATTACCTCACCCCTACCAAAAAAAAAAAAAACCCAAATCCAACTCATCTCCTAAAAAACTCCCACATTAACAGGCTAGCAAAAGAAGAGGTGCACCCATTTCCCAGAATAAAGACAATGTACCTCGGTCTCTACTATTCCCTGTATTACATCTGGCAATCAATAACAAATCACAAGCAATACAAAAAAGCAAGAACAACCCACTATCAAGAGGCAAATTAATACCACATGATATCATTTATATGTGGAATGTATAAAAAAAAAGACAAACGAACTTATTTACAAAACAGAAACAGACTCACAGACATAGAAGACAAACTTACGGTCATCAGGTAGGGAAGGGACTGGGAAGGGATAAATTGGGAGTCCGAGATTTGCAGATACTAATATATGTAAAATAGATAAACAACAAGTTTATACTATATAGCACAGGAAACCATATTCAATATCTTGTAGTAACCTATGGTGAAGAAGAATATGAGAACAAATGTATGTATGTTCCTGTGTGACTGAAGTATTGTGCTGTACACAAGAAATTGGCACAACATTGTAAACTGACTATACTTCAATAAAAATATATTTTAAAAAAAGAGGCAACTTAATCATCGACTTAGCGATGATCCAGATTTGGAACTATCAGGGAATTTAAAATAACTATGATTAATTACATTAAAGACTGATGAAAAAGTTGGACAGCACTCAGGAACAGATATGGAATTTCAGCAGAGAAATGAAAACCATGAGTCAAAATGTGAAAAAAATAGAACAGAGCATCTAAGAGTTGTAGAACAATATCAAACGGTCTAAGGTAAATATTAAAAAATGTATTTTTTGCTTACTTTTAATTGCTTTAAAATATTACAAACTGTCTAAAGCAAAAATAGTAGCAAAGCATTGTTAACTTATTGCATATATAAAAATAAAATGTGTGACAACAATAGCAAAGATAGGAAAGAAGAGTTGGAAGCTATACTGTGGTAAGGTTCTTATGTATGAAAACGATGTGATATTAAAGGTAGACTGTGATTAACTAAATATGTATACTGTGAAACTAGGGCAACCACTAAAAAGAATTAAAAGAGGTATAAATAATAAGCTAACAGAGGAGATAAAGCATCATAAAAAATACTCAATTCAAAAACAGGCAGAAAAAGGAGCAAAGAACATATGAAACAAACAGAAAATAGAAAACAACTGGCAAAGTGGCAGATTCTAATCCAACCATATCAATAACATGAAATGTAAGTGATCTATACACAACAATTAAAAGATAGACATTGTTCAATCAGATAAAAATGCAAAACTCAACATATAATCTACAAGAAACCCACATGAAATACAAAGACATAAATAGATTACAGGTAAAAAGATGGTTAAAAAGCCACATAAACACTATTCAAAAGAAAGGGGGAGTAACTGTTAATATCAGACAAGAGACTTCAGAATAAGAAGTATTGCTAGGGATAAAAATGGACATTATATGATGATAAAGAGGTCAATTCACCAAAAACACAATTCTAAATGTGTACTTTCACCAACAGCATAGCATCAAAACACATGAAGCAAAAACGGATAGGTCTGAAAGGAAAAATAGTCAAATCCACAACTGTAGCTGACAACACACCTCTCAGTCATCAATAGAACAAGTAGACATAAAATCACAAGGATCTAGAAGCTCTGAAAATGGAATGTCCCAACACAGTTCTTATCTAAGTAATTATGCGAATTTCAAGGAAAAAAAAATTGTCATCTACAAGAGGACCTACCTCCATGCAGGAGGTTGGGGGCAGATCAGCGTTGGGAGACAGCCTTCCAACAGGGAAAAACACTGCTTTGGCTCCTCTAGTTTCACAATAGAATACCAACCTTACTATCTGCTGGGTTGTTGGTATTAGAGCACATTTAGAAACCCTCCTTCAGGTGTTGCCTGAGGTCTTTGGGATCAATTCCAACCTTCTTAGCAGGGCCTTATCATTAGATCCCCTGCTGCATATAGTCCCACCCATGGTCCAGTCACACTGAATTACTTGCCGTTTGCAGAACCTGGAGCAGTCCAAGGTTTCCACAGCCCATCAGACAAATACATCATTGCTCATGCTGCTTCTAACAACTTTTATCTTTTCTTCAACATCCTGGCTGCCATCATTCTCCACATACCCCCTTGTGTCCCTCTGTGTGTGTCTCAGTCTCTCTCTCTCTATAACAAACTGTCTCTAAAATCATTGTTGAAGACAATTTCCAATAAACAATTCTGTGTACCCTATAAGTTCCTATCTTGAAAAACTGGTGTTAAACCCCACTTGTGAGGACACAATGCAGCTTCCAAATAGGTTTTCACCCTATTTTCTAAACTCCTGCAGCAGATAATAAAGGAATTCACCAGACCACTAAAATTTCCTCATGAAAATTTCACCATGAAACTATCACATGCAATTTTCAAGGGAAAAAAAATGGCTCTTTCAAAGTTCAATTTTAAAGAATATTTTTACAATCCAGATTTTAAAACTTTTATAATTGATGACTATGGAAGAAAAATTCTCTTGAGAAATACACCAAAAATCTTATCTGTGGTGAAAACACAGAGGATTTTTTTCTTTTTTATACTTTTGAGTTTTATAAAATTTCCACAGTGAATATGCATTAATTTTTAATGCTTAAACTTCATATATATATTTATTTATTGTACTTCTATCAAATAACAAAAACTATGTCACTCTTTACATTTGTCTTTTCACCTAGGATACCAGGAAACTCAAGATCAAATTCAGCTCCCAATCATACCCTCATTTTTCAACAGTAGTAGTCTCTTCTGTCACTTTGGTTTCCTGTTTCTTCTTAACAACCTCATTGCAAGTATCTTTAATTATAAACCACCACAATTACTCTTTAGAAAGAGATAAAATATAATAAATATATAATTTATATAATATAGTGTTACATAATTATTAATTACATGTGAGCCAATCTCTTTATTAGTATCATGTTCATACTGTACACAAATAACTAAAACTCTTTAGAAATCTCAAAGATCCAAGAAAGCAAACAACAGAGCAATAATATTCACCTGAGCGGAAATGCATAAACATCACACTTTCATAAGCCACCCCATCGTAAATGGTCAGGTACAGAGAAGAAAATGAAGTATCCACAGCCAGACCTAATTCCACTTCGCCGTCTTGGCCAGTTAATCTCTGCAACAAAGAGTGAGAGGCAAGTTATCAAAAAATGAACCTACTAATCAGCAGGATGATATTTCCTTTTGTCAAATCTAATTTTCCATGCCCGGCAGGGGTAGCACTCAATTACTGAGAAGTTCCATCACACCCACAGTGTAACTGAACACGTGTCAGAGAACTAGCCTGGTCATTTCAGATCATGCACATCTTGACAGCTGCTGCTCCCAGAGTCCCACATCCCATGAGCACCATTTGCCATTTGCGTCACTTTTAATAGAAAAGTATCCATACATCCTGGAGACTACAGCAGGAAGCACAGAGTGCAGAGGTCAGGAAATTTCCTGTACCAAGAAGTGCCAGGGAGATAGGTCACATAATTGGTATTTACTTTTGATCTGTAATAAAAATATATCCACAGCCAGACAGGGAAGAAGGAAGACAGGAGAAAATCAGGCTTATGGTTTTCCAACATGTTTGTCAGGAAACGAAAATCAAATTGTAAGCACTTGAATGACAACCTGAGACCAAAGCTGGGAAACAAAAAAAGCACACAGCAGGACCTTAGCAAAGTGGGCAGCCTGGGCCGTTTCCTCAAGGGCCTCCCAGGAGGCAAAAGAAAGTTGAAAATGATCTCAGAAAGCACTCACAGGATTTCAAAAGTCTGCTCCTCCCAGATCTTCAAATCAGGGAGCAGCTCTCAGAGATAAGCACCAGATGGCTGAGCATTCTGAGAGCACAGGCGCTAGATTCACTGGCAGTGCTTTTTTTCTGCCCATCAAGGGCAGAAACTGAATTCTTTTCACCAAGCACACAGTCCAGTGCACACAAGAGGTACTCAAAAACAAATGTTAAATTAAATATCGATTCCTGCCTACAACTGACCATAACACACGTGGTGCCCAGCCTGCCTGCTCAGTGCTTAGTGAAGAATTCTCAGAATGTTTCACCAGTATCTTTCCATTTACAGCAGGAGGTGATCAAACAAGATGACAGGATATGAAGACACTAAAAAGAATCTTAATAGCAGGAGCACACCACCCTCTCCCTCCAACAGGCCAGACTTCCAGCCCAGCACAAGACAGTCTCCCCAGGGGCCCAAGCTCTGCTCCTGTTCACACATACTCAGTCTTGAACCCTCGGTCTTTCTCTCTTTCAGTTTTACACGCAGCACAGGTTCTTTCTCACCAACAGACTCACATTGGAGTACCTCACACAGTCTCTCTCGCGTTCAGTGTCGCATTCAGGGCCACTCTGACCGCGGTCTCTCTCACAACCTCCCTCTGAGTCTCTCTCACTCCTGAAGGCCCCTCACGCTCACGGGCCCTCTCGCGCGCACAGCGTCCCTCTCGGGCACGCTCTCACCAGCAGCGTCTCTCACGTGCCCGCGGCCCGCACGCCCCGCATCCCGCGCTCGGCTGCAGTGCCGCTGCCCCTGCCCCGCTTCCCCGGCGCGGGCCCTGGACCCCGCCTCCGGCCCCGCGCCCCGGTGCGCCCGCCCGCGGCCCGTTACCTAGTGGTGGCCCAACGCCTCCAGGATGCTCCGTCGCGCTGCCGCTACCGCTGCCGCTGCCCCCGCCGCGACCGCTCAGGCCCCGCCCCCTCCACGTCACCGACCGCCGGATCGCGACAGCGCGCGCCGCGTCGGGACAGGGCGCGCGGCTCCGCGGGGAGCCCGCGGGCGGCAGCTCTTCCGGGCCCCAGGGGGCCGCCCCGGCCTCTGCAGTCTCGCCGGCCGGGCTGTCGGAGCCCACGTGTGCGGGGACAGCCTCTGCGCGCGCTTGGCGGCTAGCCCCCAACGGGCCGCGATCTGGGCCCAGCCACCTCGCAGATTGGATGGCCGCTCCCCGACCCTGCAGTCTCGGGGCCTCCGAGGGAGGGGACGCTACCGCGGGGACCTCTAAATGCCCCCCCCCAACTCGTTTCCTCTGTGGCCCTTGGCCTGGGCCACACACCCAGGGGAAACACATACATCTCAAACAAAGAGCTCTAAAAAGCTTCCATATCCGTTTCACAGCCAACCCTCTGCCTAGAGACCCGAGGAAGACACAGACTCAGGACTCATCATCTCAGTTAGCTCAGGCCACCACACAAGCATTGAGGCCCCACAGACACAGAGACACTGTGGGGCTTCCAAAGCCAACTCCAAGCCTTCCTGGGGCTCAGGCTTGAGGATGTTTTTCCGTCCTCATTCTGTCTGACCCATCCTGATGGAGCTACACCCTCCTTTCCTCTTCCTCTGGTTGTTCCTCCTCCATCTCCTTCTAGGAGTCCCTTTCCTCTGCAACTCTTGAGACTCTGTGTAGGGCCTCCTGAACTCATTGGCAGCTGACCCATACCCTTTAGCTTCCTGTCCACACCTCAAGCCATGATTCTCTCCTGGGCTGTGAAGTAATTTCTCCCAGACATGTGTTCACTAAACCACACACAAAACCCTTCTCCCTGCCGCCCAGTGACCCAGCCAGAGATGGGCAGCACCCTGGACCCTTCCTCCTCCTGTCCACCCCCTAGGTCCTGCATCTCATGGCTTTCTTCTCCCCAGCCATAATACCCTCCCAATCCCTGTTCCCTCTAAGTCATCCCCACAGGGTAGGAGGTCCCCCTAAAATACAGATTGAAATGACTTTGTATCTCCTCTGCCTCCATCCTCCACCCTATAGACCTGAGATGGTGATCCTTGAAGAGTCCTCACCAGTGCTGCCCTCTTTGTGCTGCTTGGAATATCTTCCCTAACTGTGAATGAGAGTAAAGGCATACCTTATGTCTTATTGCTCTTCCCTTTATTACATTTTTTTACAAATAGAAAGTTTATAGCAACTTGTGTTATCAGATGATGGTTAGCATTTTTTGGCAATAAAGTACTTTTTAAATTAAGGTACATTATTTTTAGACATAGTGCTATTGCACACATAATAGGCTACAGCATAGTGTAAACAACTTTTAGATTCACTGGGAAACAAAAAAATTCAGATGACTCACTTTACTGCAATATTTGCTTTGTTGTGGTGGTCTGGAATCAAACTGGCAATATCTCTGAGGTATGTCTGCATGTATATACTTGGAGTCATTAGCGTCTGACGCTTTGCCCCTGGATCAGTTCCTCCTGCCTCCCTGGCCTGGCAAAGAAAGGGCTCTGGACACCTGTGTCACTCAATGGCAGCCAGGCCACTTGTCTTTGTAACAGCAGCATATATGACCTGCCGGCTCAGAGAACCTCTGGCTTCACTGTCTCACATCCAGTTATAGCAGCCTGTTGGCAGAAAACCCACCATGAACCAAGCACTGAATTAGATATTCTCAAATACCACCAATATTCCTCAGGACCACCCTGAACGGTATATTTATTCATCACTGTTCTTCAGATGAGCAGACTGAGGCCCCGGGAGGTCAGGAGACTTCCCAGGCTACTTGGCTGGAGCTGGTAGAGCTAAGACTTGAACCTCAGTCTGCTGGTCCTGAGGCCTGATGGTTCCATGTCCTTTCACTGCAGCTGTAAAATCAAGAATGAAAGTAGGGCTGAAATGGGTCAAAAGTGAGAAGGTGGCTGCAAGGCCATCAATAAGGGTAGCATGAGTGGGTAGGTGTCAGGGCAGAGCTAAGAGTCAGGCTCATCAGGACCTAGGGAACCCAGGGATAAGGGTTCACTTCCTTTCACGCTGTCACCCTTTTTCCAAGGCCAGCGATGTGACTGGATCTATGTATTCCTAGGCAACTTCACCCTCTCTGGGCCACCCATTCTTCCAGGTTTGGCCAATAACTTGTGCAGTGAGTAGGTTTGGAGCGCCTTCTAGTGGCCCAGAGTGTATTGGCGCCTGAAGCCCAGGCTGGCCAGGCTTCTGTGGAGGAGACAGGAACTGGGGCTCCCACCACTCTCACTGGCCCCCAGCTCTGGGCTCTGCACCACAAAATTCAGTCCTGGACCCCATCCCTATGCATGCTTCCTGCCCTGGACTCTGTTTCTCCGTTTCTCCATCTCCATTTGGTCCCCAGTCTCAGTCCCTCTCTCTGCCCACCTTGGTCTCCCTCTGTCGTCGGTCTCACTCTGTCCTCAAAAAGGGACAGATGGTGGGTACTGACAAAGCAAAGTAGAAGGGTAGCATCCTAAGAAGAACTCTGGGTTAAAAGGATGCTGAGACCTGCAAGCTGAAGGAGGACAGAAGGCTGGGAAGGGGAGTCCTGTGGGATTGTCCTTGGCCCCTAGCTCTGGGGTGGCATTTAGGGCCTGTTGACCAGACGGGAGAAGAGGGAGGGGGGAGCTTCACTCCAATGGGAATGTTTCAGGTCCTGGTTCTTAGTCCCAGGAGAGGAACTAGATTCCAGGAAAGGAGGCAGGAGGATGAAGCCCATAGAAGTACACAGGAGCCATGCTTTGGTGCTGAGAACCTATCAGGGTCCCAGGAAAGGTCAGGGTCTAGCCCCTGATTTCTTGCCTCTCTAGCCCCCTCACTCTTCTCATGCTTAGAGCAGATTTGCTAAGCCAGAGGATTTTACAGCATCTGAAATACTTTTATTGCCAGAATCGAGGTACAGCCTGCTCAGAGCCCCATGTGGGGCCAACAACTCAAGAACAAAGGGAGAGACAGATGCTGGGTATGAATGCAACAGAGAAACCTTGTTTCCACTCCACAGAAACCTTGTAGGACAGCAGCACAGTTCAGTCTGACTGTGGCTTTGGAGCCCCACCCTAGAAGCTAGACCCAAGTCTTGGCCTATAGCTATTGCCCACTTGGAGACCACTGCCACCAAGACAGATCCAGATTCTCCATCCCTGCTATGCACAGATCCATGCAGCACCTCTGGAGCAGAAAGAAAACTCCCAAGGGACCCCCAAGGGACCCCCAAGGCACCTGGCTCTCAGGGGCCTACTCAAGTTTCTGGGCTAGTCCCTGCTGACTAAACACCACTGAGCTGCCTGGTGGGGACAAGTGCTGGGCAGAGTAGGAAAGAGTCCTACCTCCTCTCAGCCCTGTGCCAGCCCACTTGAGCAGAGTGGGATTGTAGTGGTGGGTTACCAAGAAGGCAGATCATGGCAGCTCAGAATGGCCCTGGCTGCTTCCTTGAGTTCTCTTTCTTCATGAATACCCAAAGGGCCATGGCACTGGGCCCTGCTCTCCTGCTTGAACCACAGTCCCAGGGCGAAGGGAGCCAGCATCAGTCTTGTGGTCAACAGCCCAATGAAGGAGATCAGGGCTCCTAGGACACAGCCCCCAGAACCAGGGACCACCTGCTGCCCAATCTGAGCTAGGCTGTTCTTAGAGGTAAAGGAGGTAGGAGTGAATGCCCCAGGGCCTGGAATCCATGGAGAACACAACAACCCACCCCTGCCTGCAGGGAGAACTGGGCTGCCCCTAGAAAGCCATAGTCAGCCTATCTGAGCAGCTAGGCCACGAGGAAGCCAGTAGCTCCAGCCACCCATGGCCAGCAGCAGGCTGACCTGTGGCCAGTGTGTGAGAAGGTTCACCCTAGGGACAACAAGCCCATCTTAGGGGCCACAGTTCAGTAATACTCCTCATAGGAAGGTTGAGGAGCCAGGGCCTGGTGGGCAAGTGTGAAAAGGCCACAGGGGTAGGAGGAACATATGGCCCTAGAGCTGGGGACTGGGGCTAGGTGCCAGCCAATCCACCTGCAGAGCCAGTCCTGAGGTCACAATTCCACCATCAGCAGCATTCTTTCTATCAAGGGTCCCTCAAGTAAGTCCAGACTACTTCTACCTTCCTCACTCTTAGAGAGGAAGGATAAGAAATAGCATGTCCCCGTGGCAGGCGTTTCACCACCCAAGATCCAAGGCCTTAGACGGTCAGTCATAAACTGCTAAACTCACGGGCCATGGTAGCCCCGCAAGCCAAGAGAGCAGCGGTGGGAGCCATCCCACAGCCCCAGCTGGCACAGAAATCAGGGCTCAAAGAGCACGCTTTTCAGATAGGCCAGGGTAGTGGCGTTGGCCAGCATTGCGATGTGCTCACTGCCTGGCAGTGCCTGAAATGACACTTCGTGCTCCTGGCGACTGTGCCAGGCCTGGCACTGGAGGGCACTCTGCAAGTTCACAGTGCCATCACCATCACCAAAGCAGATTTTAGGGTCACGGTCCGGGAAGCTCTCATAGTAGAAGGAGTCTGGCGTGGGGACACCAGTGCCATAGAGGCAGTGCAGCCGCACACCAGGCGGCACCATGGCTTCAACCAGCCCCTCTGTGTCCTGCCGCATGAGCCATCCATCTTCGAAGCTGATGTCCTGGAAGAACCTGTGATAGTCCTGCAGCGTATAGTTGGCTGTGGGTGTGCGCACGAAGACCTTTTCAGATGACCAGGTAGAGTTGTAGGGCAGCAGCCAGCTGGTGGAGACGGCAGACCGCTGCTGCTCCCGGATCTTCAGGCGCCCAATGACTGGGATCCGGTTATTGTCTCCTGCAAGGAGAGGGCTCCCGTCAGTCTGTGCTCGGGAATGAATGCAAGCTGGCCGGGCAGCATATTCCCCTGCCAGACCCCAGCCAGCACCCCAGCATCTCTCCACTGTTAACGCCCTTATAGCTTCCCTGTTTCCCCGTATCTTTGCTCTATCTGGGAAGCACTCAGCTAAGACTTGTTTTTTCCTTTTGCATTTTGTCACCAGGGATTTAGGCAGCATATACCCACAGCGTGATTTATGATACCCTCCTCAGGGCACTTCTTAGCCGGCCTGTGGGCACTGACCTTGTCAAAGGTGAATCAGCAGGTTGGCAGCCCAGAAAGGTCCTCTTAATCTTTTATTACATTGAGCTATGTAAACATTTTTCTCTTCCTAGGCTCAGATTTCTGGCCAGCCAGCCCTGGCCTCATCCCAGGCACTGACCTGGGCTGCCAGCCCTGCAGGAGACAGGGGAGGAGGGGAGGCTGCAGGAAGAGTGAGTCTTTCTCACAAAGGAATGCCAACAACATGAACACACCCACCAGCCAGTGAGACCTCTGGTGGATGAGCTGGAACTTGGGAACAGAGGCCCTCTGCCCTGCTCAGGACCCATAGCCAGCCATCACCCCATCTCTCTGACTGCAAGCCTTCAGCTCTGCCGGATGGGGCCTGGTTCTAGGACCCCTGAGGAAAGAGAATTCCCTAGCTAGGGGTTCATGACTACCATCCCTCCTGCCCAACCCCACTCCAGGACTGCCAGGGCCAGACAGCAGCTTCCTGGAATCTGAGCCAAAGCTCTTAGGGGTTCATGGGGAAGCTCTGAAAGGGCCGAGACCTGAACTCCACCATGGCAACTTGTCTCAAACTCAGGGGATGCCCTTTCTGGTCTAGGCTGGACAGAGTGGGCGGCTGTGATGAGTCTTCACTATAACTAGAATCACTGTCCAGCTGATCCAGAGTCACTACTGGGAGAGGCACTGGGTCTGACCTGATCACAACGATCAGGTGACCAATAAGTAGGTCAGACAGTGTTGGTGACTTGAGGAAGAAAGCTCATCAGACGCTTGGCACAGCCCTGGATCACAGCTCCTGAAGTGAAGGTCCTTGGGGTTCACACTCAGTCCTGGCAGAGGGAGGAAAGCCCTAAGACTACAGCTGGCAGGTTCTAACAGCTGTGAAAAGGCAGATGGATTGGAGAGGAACAGGGAAGGAGGTGGCTTTCCCAACTACCAAGCAAGCAGGCCAGACAACTCTGTACCTGCTTCCTCCCTACGTTGCCCCCAGAGGCTCCTCATGGCCACAGATGGAGACATAACTCATAAACAGGAAATCATAGCCCAAACTTCCTTCTCTGCGGCAAAGGTGGGGATGAAGAAGTGAGGATGGGGGTAAGGAGAAGGCTCCTTCAAAAAACTCTGAGTCAAAACAAATTAGGCCAGCCGGGCCCCTGCACACTGCGTGTGTGTACATGTGTGCACTGTATGACCGACAGTTATGCCACACCATGTACATGCTGTAAGAAACTTAACACAGATAACCAGGGACATCAAATAGAGAGATGAATTTAGAAGTAGTGTTAGATTCTTCTTTGGAAAGAGACGTTTGGAAAAGACCCTGGAGAAGGAAGGGTCCTGCCCCAAGAGAAGAGACATTAGTGTGGCCCAGGAGGACATGGTAGAGAGAAAGAGAGGGCTCCGTCCCCAACACCAGCCCCCGTCCCCCAACACTGGGCCAGGCAGGGTCTTACCTGAGGCCAGGACGCGCAGGGTCTTGGCCACGCCCCCCCAGGGCGCACCCAGTGCCACAAAGGCACGGATATACTTGTCCTTCCAGGCCTGCGGCTGCTGCTGCAGAAAGTAGAGCGTGTACATGTTGCCCATACTGTGGGCAACCAGCACCACGGGGCCCCCATACAGCTGGTGCATCTCCTCGATCATCTCGCGGAGGGCCAGGAAGTAGGGCCCGTTTTCATCTGCAGGCCAGAGCCAGGCAGGGGTCAGGCAGGCAGGGTCCTGGGGTCTGAACCACGGCCTGTGTCTCAGGCCAGACCCAGGACTAGGTGGGTGGGGAGAGTGCTAAAATCCAAGTGGGAGGGGTCTGGTTCCTCCTCAGTTTCCATGAAGAGAGGAAACAAAGGAGTTCCTTTTCCCTTCCTCAGCCTCATTATCTTTCCCCAGGGCTGAGGCCCAGAAATCCTGGGGTGAGGATGGGGGGAGGACCAGACAGATTGACCAGGGGTGGTAGCTGTGACTTATGGGCTGGATGCCAGAGATTCAGCTGGGAGTAGGGGAAAGCCTGGGGCCTGTGGCTGTGATCTCCTCGTCCCCACCTCCCAAGACCTCAGGGAGGAAATGAGGGCAACCACTTACTTGGAGCTCGGCGCCAGTCGTAGGGGGCCCCCCGGACATCCTCACCTCGTGTGTAGCCCCAGCCCACAAGGCTCTCCACCATGGTGTAGAAATAGGAACCTGTAGACAGAAATGCACAGGATTAGAGAGAGTACAGTCATCGTCGGCCACCCACACCACACCTGCTAAGGAGACTGTCACATCTACTTCAGACAGCTCTCCTGAGGCTTTTTATCATTATAGGGCTCTGTGCCCACACTGATCAGAGACAGTTTGCAGGCTACCCCTTCAAACAACAGGGATCTTCCCACTCTAGGAGTCCATCAGAACCCTTACCCCCCTTCCTGGAGGGCACGAGGAAGGACTACATACCCACACTGCTTTTGCTGGGGTCCAGGAACTCCAGTGAGAAGGTCTTCCCGAAGCCAGGGACACGCACATCCACACCATCAGGAAACTGGGTGGCACGGGAAGTCCTGTTGTAAATCAGCCTGTCAGGAGGGAATATTGAGCCAGTGACCCAGAGGTGACACTGAACTTGCTGTGTCCCAGTACTGCCCTGTATCCTGAGCCATATTGCCTTCCCGTCCTCAGATCTGGTCAGATCTATAGGGGAGAACAAAAAGTATCAGAGCAAGTTTATAAAAAACGAGGGAGGGTATAGCTTAGCATGCACAAGGTCCTGGGTCCAATCCCCAGTACCTCCAAATTTTAAAAAATTATTAAAAAAAGTTTGTAAAGCACAGATCAGAGTAACTACATCCAAATGAGGACTCCCACCAAGGCTCACAATATTCCCTTCTCCTCAGTGTCACCCACACCAGAATGAAGATCCAGTTGGGAGAGGGAAGTGCCAGGTCTGGCTGTACCATGAACATTGCACTTGACCCCAAAAGGGAGGCAGCCTAACTGTGCAGCCTCCCATCACTCCATCTCCATGAATCCAGCTCCTGTCACCCACCATAACACAACACAGGGCAAAGGAGATGGAGAATGCAACACACAACAGAGAAACCCCCCCTCTGGGCCTGCGCACCTGTGACTGCTATGTGAGGGGGTGGGCAGGCCTATAGAAATGATGGGGACAGGGTGGTGGGAGATGGGAGGAAAGCCTTGTGCCTGGCTAGGAACCCTGCTCTGGCCTCCCCTTATACTAAGGAGGCAAATGTGCCCACGAAAACAGGCTAGACCTGCAATCCTCAGGCAATCCTCAGTGGTCCTGAGTCCTACCCACCCTTAAAGATCAGCCACAGAAAGCTGACAAGATACCCAGCACTGGCCCAAATAATAAATTCTGGGGGCACCCACTCTCTCCAGGGTAATCTACAGACCATCTCAATGGCCACTAAGCAAAGTTCTGGAAGCCAAAGCAGTCTGTGCTGGATGCAAGTCTAAGCAGGTCAGAGGACCAACGAAGACAGACAAGGCCCTCTTGGTATCAGCCTGCACCTCCAACTGGCAGTACCTGAGACCATGTCTCTGCTACAAAAATAGAAATGCAGATCAACAGCCCAGAAATAACCCTGATCGCACACAGAGGAAAGAGTCAACAAAATAGGCATCATAAACAAAGACAGGGTACCTAGAGAACCAACTAGAACCAGCTAGCGTGCCTCCAGAGGAAAAAATCTTAATTTGTGATACTCTATTCAGCTCAAATATTTATTGAACACTAATTGTGTTTCTGGCCCTACAGCTATAAAGATAAAACAGATACAGTCCCTGCCTTCAAGGAGCTCAGTGTGGGAAGGAACCTTAGCTCTGGGTTCAAATCTTAGTTCCGCTACTTATTAGCAGAGTGACCCTAAGCAATTTTGTCACCTTTTTGAGCTTCCAGATTTCCTTATCTGTAAAACAGGTTTAAAAACAGCACTTATTTCACAGGGTTGCTGTAAGCCTAAATGTAAGAAAATATGTAAAATGTATAATGTCCAGGGGGAGGGTATAGCTCAAGTGGTAGAGCACATGCTTAGCATGCACAAGGTCCTCAGTTCAATCCCCAGTGCCTCCTCTATAAATCAATCTATCAATCAATCTAAGGACCTCCCTCCCCCCACAAAAAAATAAAAAGCATAGTGTCTGTATTCAATAAGCAGTAATTCTGATTATATGATTATCTCATTAGGGGGAAAACACCCTTTGGAAAAAATGTTTGGCAGGCATGGAATGGGGGTTAGAGAAAACAGGCCCGGGGGGTTAGAGAAAACAGGCCCGGGGAAAGAAGAGGTTAACAGCTCTGGGCCTGGGGGAAGAAGAGGTTAACAGCTCTGGGGAGTGGCAGGGAGACTTCATGAAGAGTGAGTGGGAGTGGATTTTTCAGGCAAAGGTATAGAGGTAGATTCTAGGCTGAAAGAACAGCATGTGCAAAGCTGGAAACTTGGCATATCCCAGGAAGCACAAGCAGCTGGAGGGGCAGGTGTGGCCAAGTCAGAAGCAAGGGAAGGGGTGGGGGCCACAGTGAGGCCAACCACATATAGGGAATGAGCACATAGAGGGCATGTGGCACTGGGACATGAGCAGCAGAAAAGGGAAGAAAGTTCTCTCTGGTAGAGTACAGAGGTGGTGCCAACCAGACTGAAGAAATGGGAAGGGAGAGAGGTCAACGACTTCCAGGTCTCTTGAGTTGCAGATGACATGGAAATGGGTTCTGGAGGCCTCTTTAGGCTGGGTCAGTGAGCGGCACCCCATCTGTGCCCCAGCCCCCACCTGATGTTGTCAATCCAGCAGTCAATGATGACAGGAAGCAGCAGTTCGAGGTTCAGCCAGAGTGTGAAGTAGCTGTCCGTCCTCTTGGAGCAGAGGTAATGCACGACTGTTGGCTTGTCCAGCTTTGCCTCCAGCTGGTTGCCCAAATCACCGGGCACTGCAGGGGGACACAGAGCATGTATGAGGCCCTGGGCCTGCCAGGCTGGAGACCCAGAGGCCTTCTACACAGAGCTGTCCCGGGCCGTGGAGTAGGCAGAGTCTTGTATACCCTGAAAGAAGCATCAGGAAACAGGATGGAGTAGTGGGCCACTGAACCAGCCAAAACTGAATCCACAGAAGGCAATCTAGGACAGGCTTGTGAAGGGGGACAATGAACAGAAACACATTTGAGAGAAGCTCATACTGGCACCTACTGGCCTACAGAGGTCCCCAGGCCTGGCTCAAAGCCAGAGCCTGTGGGCTGCTAAACCTTGCTAAAAATTTCAGAGGGCAGATCATCTGGAGGGCCCTAGCATCCTGGCACATCTGGAAGCTGTGCTGGCTATCCTGAAGCAACATGCCATTCGAGCCACAGCCCAGCAGGGGTGGGTGTGACCAGACCCCAAGGATGACGTCTCTCTACCTGAGCTGGTCTATTCGGTCCATACAGAGCCCTGGGGCCCTAGTGACACTTCCCCCAACATTCATGGCCCCTCACAGTCTATTTACTCTCAGTGACCTTTTAGGCCTCACTTGCTCCCACCTGCCATGCTCTTAACACTTTTCAAACATATCCCCATTTAGGATCCATGATCACTAAATGGACACCAAGCTCAGCTCTCCTGGGCAACTGGGCTCCAGCTGTGAACCCAGCCCTGCAGAGGGCTCACCCTACCTGTGCACCACCCAACAGGGTCCTCAGGGCAGCCACAGGAGGCAGGTGTGGCAACTGCAGAAGTGGGGAGTACTTCTGGATGACATGCCTGTGGACTAGGCAGGGCAGTGTAGAGACCCTGGTCACCAAAGAGGAAGCAGATGAAAGAGGAAGTCACCAGATCTGCTTTGCCTGAATGTCCTTCGCCCTGGCCAGGCTGTGGCCTCTAAAAATAGCAGTGGACACTTCCTGAGCCCCTTTGTGCCTAGAATTAAGACAAGAGCCAGCCACGTGCTTTTCACCTCAAATAATACTGGGGGAGAATATCCTTATTATGCCTACTTTACAGATAAGGAGACTGAGGCTGGAAGAGGTAGAAATGGCTTGCTACAGTCCCTTCCCACTTCCCAGGGTCTTCTTCTGTATCTCTTCTCTGGCCTCTGCTTCTTCTACCACCAATGTGGGTCCCACCCATAGGGACTAGTCACCCTTGGATGCTGATCCTCTGATAGCCAAGGCCAGGTCCCTGCTCTGTGCCCAGCAGCAGTGTGTCTGCAGCCCATCATGGGCTTTCCCAGGATAATGCCAACAGCCTCATTCTCTGAGAAGCTGGGCAGGTTAGGATTTCAGTTGCTCTGTGCCCCTAGGTGATTCCTGAGGCTTCTCTTCTGTGATCTAGGATGATCAAAAATGGAATGAATTAAGGGGTGCAGTTAGTACCAATCCAGGTGAAAAGGCCTGGGACCAGTCCAGTCAGGGACCACATACTTCCCAATACCACACCCTTCATACTCACAACTCTTTAGGCCCACACATGTCTCCCTGCAGGCTTCCAGGATAAAGTCCAGATGACCCAAACAGTCACGAGATCAGCACAATCCACTCCTTCCCCCACTCCATTCCACACAGCCTGAACTGCTTAGCTCCCTCCCTCTGATATGTAGTTCCCTCTGCCTGGAACTCTTTCCTTGCCTCAGCTCCAGTTGCATACTTCAGGAAGCCTTTCCTAACTGGGTGGTGGATTCTCTGTGCTTGCCCAGCATACACTTTACCTCTGGGTGTCATCCTGCAAGCTTGGGGAGGAAAGCCAGGGCCAAATCTGCCCAAATCCCATGGGGAACCTGGGCCCAGCATACCCCAGAGCATGGACTGGCCCAGAGCTCCTGGTGGAGGACCTCCTGGCACCACACTGCCTGCCAACTCTACCCTTCTGTGATCTGCATCATTCCCATTAAAATATTCCCAGCAGGTAGAGCATGGAGTGTCATGCTGCAGCAGAAGGTAATGTATACCTCAGCATGCCTCTGCCTTCAGGAATCCTAGCTGACCAACACAGTAGTTCAGGGCGGCGGTGGCGGGTGGGGGGTGTGTGTGTGACAGCGTGAACGAGGCATTCAGGGCCCCCAGGACAGAGGTCTCATCCTTGCCCACCGCCAACACAACAAAATACTGTGACTCCTGTACAGTTGCCAGAGTCAGGACTAAGAAGGAGGTAGGCAGGGGAGGTCACCTACCCCCAACATAGCATAGTTCAAGTAGGTCTGGCAGGTTAAGGGTGAAGTATGACATCTGTTCATAACCACTGTCTCAACCTCTCTCTGTTTATAGCCATCCTAAGATTCTCTTGGGCCTCCTTCCTCAGGCCCAATCCCACCCATGTGATAAGTTAGAGGGGAGACTTGGTGGCAGGCTAGGAGAGCAATCTTTTCCCCAAAGAGCTTCCTTTTAGTAATGCCCTTTGACACGTGTAGGGGCTGGAAGGGTGGAGGGAAACAGGTTCCTAGCCAAGCCCAAGTCAACGCTGAGTCCCCTGAGAGCCAACTCCAAGGCCACCCTACCTCCTACAGGCCTCAGGAGTGGGGCCAAAGGGCCTCGGTCTTTCCAGCTAAAAAATGCGGATCAGGCGAGGCAAGGCTTGGGACTGACATGAACAGGCGGACCGATGCACAAACGAACGGTAACCCTCCCATTTACCCCCATCTTCTACTGGAGAAGACAAGAGGTTGACCACACCCGCGCCCAGCATAGCGAAAAGTGGACAGACTGACTCAGGTGACGAGACAGTCATACGCTCCTCCATCCCGTGCTTGGAGCAGATGCATAACTAACTGGAAGACAGACCCGCCCGCAACCCACCAAGCCGCATGCACGAGCGAACGGATCCACGACTGGACGCGCGCCTCACCCAGTACCACCGGTGGGGGACGTCCGGCCGGGAGCGCCGGGTCTGCGAGCATCAGGAGGAACAGGAGGCCACTCGGGAGCAGTGCGGCGCGGTAGCGGAAGAGGCGGAGGCCCATGGCAGCGACCGCAGCTCCAGGTCTGAGGTGTAGATTCAGCTCCCCGGGCTCGCGCCTAGGCCGGAGCAGCGGCGACGCGCTTAACCCCGCCGCTCGCAGACTTCCACAGCTGTCAGGCCAATCAGGGTCTGCCTCCTGCAAACGGCCTGCCAATAGAGACTCGCCGCTGGGGAGTCCCTCCCAGTCGGAGCTCACCGCCCCGCCCCTGCTCATCCCTGGCCAACTGCTTTAACCGCGTTGCACGCCGAGCGCATCGATCCACTGAGGTTCAGCCTGGTTTCCACGATCTCAGCTCATTGGACCCAGTCCACCGCTGCTGGGTACCCAGGACAGCCCTTGGCACCCTAAATCCACGCCGCGCAGCCCTCATCCTCGATTCCTGGCTCCTCCCTGACCAGGGATCTAGAATGCCCCGGACCGACTGGGAATTCAGGGTCCAGTGCTCACCGTTGCTGAGCGTCAAAACAAGGAGAATAAGGGGGGTTGGGTGTATAGCTCAGTGGTAAAGTGCGTGTTTAGCATGTGCGAGGTGCTGGGTTCAATATCCAGTACCTCCATTAAATTTAAAAAATTATAATTAATAAACAAACAAAAAACCAAGAATAAGGAGAGAAGCCAGTCCCGGGCAGTTCTTGAGCCTGAGGGGCCCAGGAGCTGACCAGGACGTTCGTGCAACTTTCAAACCGGTTCTTCGCACACTACCCTGAGGGCACCTGGGTTCAGGCAACCCTGGCCCAGGGACCCCCTGCCGTCTACCCGGGGAAGGGATGTGAGTAGGACGAGTAGAGACCAGGTCAGCGAGTTTCGCTTCCCAGTGAGAGTTCTGTCCGCCTGTTTCAGGGGCTTGCAGTATGGAGTAACTCCAGACCCAGCAGTTCCCGCGCCTGAGAGTGGGCTTGAGCCTCGGCCCTGTGCCCGTTGGAGAGTTCCCCCGAAGACCGGGAGGGGTCTTGGGACTTCATGTCTCCCCTCCCCAAAATTCCACCCCACACAACCCTGGGATCGGAGAGGACACAGACTCCCTACACCAGGGATCAATTGAGAGCGAATAAAGTGGGCAAAGACTTGACAGCCAATAATATTTTGGTACCTTGCATCACTCAGGAACAGAGAGGCCAGCATGTTTGGAGACTGGAGGTCTTGATCCTTCACATACCTCCTCATGAAGACCAGACAACACCCTGATCATCCCTGGCTGGTCCCAAGACCAACATCCAAGAGCTTTATCCTGCCCCTTCCCTCACTCCCTCCTTCCTTCCTTCCTCTTGGTCTATGGCTGACCCTTTCCAGCCTCTCTGGAGTCCCTCTCAATGAATCTACTCACTATCTTGGCTTGCCCCTCCTGTGTTCTTATAGTGAAAAACGTAGATGGTTGGGGTACCCTCCTCTCTTAAGGTCCAACTATCTCCCACCTCAGACCCAGGCCCAAGGACCCCCTTCCAAAACCCCTCCTTCCTCACTACCATCCCAGACCCCAGCGGAGGGGGTGCTGAAGACCCATCTGGTGCAGGTCCTGTGTGAGTTACCATAGAGACCTTTCTGCCAGGGCTAGGGACAGGCAAGAGTCCAGAGCCAAGGGTTAAGTGAGGGAAGGGGAGGGATCAGGACTGCCTGAGCCCCCCTGAACTCTGGCCACAGTCAGAATGTCTTGTCAGCTCAGCAGCCTCAAGTGACAATGGGCCCCTTAAAGGGTGACCTTGTCCTTGGGAGATCCCTGGTTCCCTGGTGCTCCACTCCCATAGGTCCTGCAGTTAATAGGACCATGGTCATTCCAGGAGGGGATACCAAGGCCTGGTCAGCAATAACCCATGCTGGCGCTGTGGAGAGGGGTCAGAAAGTGAGGGTCTTCCATATTCACAATGACCCCACCATCCACATGATCCCCCTAGCTGCAGAGCTGGGGTCATCCTGGACTCTAGAAATCTTCCTCTCAGACCCACAATCAGGTGGTCACCAAGTTTTGCAAGCTCCACCCTCCCAAAGTCAAACTACCGTCATCCCCATAGTAGCCTCCTCATTGATATCTCAATTTCTGCTCTTATTCCATGACATTAAACAGTAACTCAGGCTCATGACTGTCCGCTTCACTCCACTCATGACCCTCCCACTGCATGCCTTGTATGCATCTCACCCATACTGAGTGAAGACCCTGCAGGATATTCTGGCTGGTTCCCCCAACTTCCACTCCCGCTCTTTTCCCAGCTGTCTAATCTCCAGCCTCAGTGGCTTCCTTGCTGCCTAGAACAGGACAACCTCATTCTCCCTCAGGACTTCTGCAATTGTTGCACTGGGATCACTCTGCAACCCCCACTTTTGGGAATTCAGCTGAGCTCTGCGTTTAGGTCTCAGCCCAGGCATGACCACTGACTTTGAAGCAGCCCCCACCTAGTTCCCATTAGAATATAATCACCGGAAGAGCAAGCCTCTCATTTGTCCTAATACTGTAGCCTCCTCAGGTAACTAGTGTTACCACCAGCACAGACCCTGGCACACAGCAGGTGCTTAACATGTTGAATGAATGCATGATGAATCCCCTTCTCTACAACCCTCCCCATTTCCAGGATAGGGTCCTGGCGCCTGTCAGAACTAGAGAAAGAGATAAGGGACTGAGAGGCCCACCTGGTTGGATGTAAGTTCTGAGAAAGACTGGGAAAGAGAGAGGGTGTTCCTGTGGAGCAGAACATTCTCGGCAAAGGCTGAAGGTGGGAAAAAAACCCAGAGACTGAGGAGCCAGGCCAACTGTGGTATCTTCCTCAGGTGAGAATCCAGCCAGCATCCTCTGCACCCCCTGTGTAACTGGGCCCTTTGTATTCCCTCTCCCTTATCCAAGCGCCAAGCTCCCCTACCTGGACCAGGTGGGTGGCTGGGCTTGGGGCAACTCAGTCAAGACCAGGGCTTCTGAGCTGGTTTGGTAGCCAGAGCTGGAGCCAGAAATGAGTCTATTTAGAGGCTAACTGTTTCTCACTAAAGTTCACAGCCCAGTAGGCTCCTGCTCCTCCGCTGCCAGAGCCTCCCAGAAGTCAGGAGAGGCCAAACAGTGACCTGATCATGACAGAACCCTGGGGCATGGGGCCCAGAACAGGGCCTCTAATCTGGCCTAGGCATCAAAGTAGGCTGCCTCGTGGAAGAATTATTAGAACTGGGTCTTGAAGGATATAGCAGGAGTTTCCCAGGAAAACAAAGGGATGAGCAGGTAGGTGGCTGTTCCAGGCAGGGAGCTTAGCATGTGCAGCAGCCTAGAGACCGGAAGAATCACAGCAGTGCGTCTGGAGCACGTAGTGGGTGAGAATGGAACAGAGAGGTTTGAGGGTCCTAAAAACCAAGCTTAAAAATTTATCCTAAGTCCAGGGAGCCAGGGGCCTCAAAGATTCTCAGGCAGGAGGGAAGCGGCCTGGGGCGCAGCGTCAAGGGTTTCCGGTTTCACCTCAAGACCTATGGCTTTCTCTGGGGGGAGCCCTCCAAGGCACGCTCCTCCTCTTTGTCCCCCCGCAATACCTGGTTCATTCGACGGAGTCAGTGCGCCCTCTGGTGGGTACTCAGCGACTATCCGGCTGTGAAGGCGCGGAGATGCGAACCCCGAGGGGTACGGTTCTGGGAGGCCTGGGAGGTAAGGAAGGGTCACAACTGGCTCAGCTAGGGGTCACTGTGCTGCTGAGGATGGGGAAGGGCCTGGGCCAGCGAGTGTGGATCGACGCGGTTGTCCTAAGCAGGTACCCAAGGTCGAATCCTCTTCCACTGTGGGATGTCTCCCGGGAGGGACAGGGGAGGGTGCTTTTACACAACTCTTAGACGCCCTGGAGGTCCACGAAAACACCCACACTCCCCAAGTGAGGAAGCCCACCCTGTATCTGCCCGGACCTTCACATATCCACGGCTGGAGTGCTGGCTGCCTTCGTGGCAGGTCTCCAAGGGCTGAAGCGAGGGTGGAATTCCGCGAGCTTGCAGTACTGTTTGGGAAAGAAATCTGGCTGTGCCATTGGAACCTTGCTATGCCGACCCCCCTCGCGTACCTTATCTCAGATTCATTCATTCGTGATTCGTGAACACTAGCTAATGGCCGGGTAGGGATGCGGGATATTTATCAATGAAATACAGAAATCTCAAACCACAGTGGGGACTCCAGCGATGGAGGGAGGTGCCTTGAGAAGGAAAAATCTGGAGGGAGAGCAGAGGTTACCTAGGGCTTGGGCGGGTTGGGAAGGGATGAAAGGGCACAAATGAGACTCTAGTGCAAAGTCCCTGTGACCCCAGGGAAGGTTATTGTTGAGGGAATACGGGAAGAGTGCTTAGACAACCATGCATTCATTCATTTAGTCTTGAGCCACTAGTGTGCCAGACAGACTCAGTGATGGGCTCTGAGGATGAGCTCGTCCTCGAGGATGTGATGTTCTCGCGGGTGGGTGGGTGGTTGGATGGGAAGACAAAAAACGATTTATTGCGTTACAAGTTAATTTTGTGCTGAGGGAATGGAGATGTGAGAGCCGGTTGGGGGACAGGAGTGTGGGTTTAGTATTAAAGGGGTGACTCAACTATAGATGAGTAAGGGAGCTGGGGATCTAACGTGATTTTAACAAACTTAGTTTCCCAAGAAGAGTCCAAACATTGCAAATTCTCATGTGGATGGAGGCGGTCGGACAGGCCCAAGGGGATTTGGGGGAACCACCCCACGCTTTGGTTCTGTACGCCGGGGACCTGTACACGCATGAAAGCGTCTCCAATGAGAATGAGCTCGGGATGGATGTGGAGAGGGCATTTTTCTCATTTAAGGAAAAACAGAGAAGGGCCTGGCACGAAGATCTAGAGTTTGAATGGATGGGGGCTCCAGGAAGTGTGAGGCTGAGATCAAGTAAAGCCCGGATGGCCCGGCGGGGATGCCGGGGCTCTGTCCTGCAGTAGCAGAGCCCAGACTGGAGCCCGACAAGGGGCGATGCATGCCAGAAGTTTTAGGACAGGCTGAGATGCTGTTGGGGTGGAATATAATTAACTGAAAGGGCGTGGTGCCGAGGAAGGTCCAACTTAGCCTGGCGCAGGCGCGCTCCTGTCTGGATGGGGGAAGGGCCTCACCTCGCTGTTGCGCCCAGCCTTCCGAACAAATATTTAACATTCCAGGCTTATCTGGAGGGGGCGGGGCTAAAGAGCCACATTGCTTCTTCTCCCCGGGCCTGATTGGCTTAGCGCTTCCGGGGGTGGGATCAAGAGGGCCGGCAGCGGTTGGCGGAATAGGAAGGGCCGCGGCGCTCAGGCACTTGCCTACATCCTAAGGGGAATCGCTGGTTGCCCGAAGCTGCTGGAAGACTTGGCTACTTCCCTCTCCCTGCCGACAGCCGTGTCCCGGGGCAACTCAATCTCTTTATTTGTCAAGTGGGTATGCGCTGCAGCGTGGAATTAGTAAGCATGGCCTTGGAGGCGCCCCGCCTCTACGCCGGACTATTTCGCTCTCTCAGTTTCCGAAGGTCCGAACGCAGTGCCCAGCTTTTTCGAAAGAGTGAGGTGTGGCTCCCGCCCCAGTTTCAGCTCCGGCTTGGCAACCCCATGCCCCTGCTCCTGCCGCGCTGGACTCCCTTCTTCCCGCCGGATTTTTCAGTTCCTCAGTCACATAAATGGGAGAGCCTGGGCAAGTCCGGGCGGTCTGAAAACTTGCTGTAAAAAGCCTCACCAAGCCGGACGAGGCGAAAGAGTTCCAGGAGCCCTCCACGAGGGACTATCCGAATTGGAGAATGATCTACGGCCTCCTCGCGCACATTACACTTTCGCCGCTAGCCCCCACTGACCAGCACGCCCACAGGCAACAGGCCTCTTGTCAAGGCGGGAAGGCAAAAACAGGCAGCAGTCCCCACGTCGGGTAGGGGTGAGGCTCCGTGCCCAGACTATCAGGCTCAGAGCCGTCTAGAGTGCAGCTCTCAGGAGCAGGTGCCCGGGGTCGGGGAGACGCGCTTCTTCCTGGTCCAGCACCCAGGCCTGCGAACCTCCGACCGCGTTTTGGCATGGCGGGCACTTCCCAGAGGCAGACTAAGGCCCGGCCTTCCCACCTGTGTGGACAAGCCCTTCCCAATGATCTCTGGTGACACCTACCCCAAAAAGAGCTCTAATGACTTCTGGTGCTCCTTGTCACCCTCCCCTTCCCTTAGTCGACTTCTGGTGATCCCCCTATAGGCCTTTGGGTGATACTCGGTAACTCTCACAGCAGCCTTTGACCCTGGGTGACTTCTATTACCCCTCCAGACAGGCTGTCGTGACCCCCACAGCCTCTAGACTGACTCCTGGTGATTTTCACAAGTCCAATGGACACTTACGGACTGAAGAAGGTCCCTGGTTTTGCACTTGGCCTCGTGGGTGGGTGGGTGTGAGGAGGATGGGGTCGCCTCAGGAGTCAGGCAGGGACCTCTGAGAGAGTGGGACTTGAGCGCCCGCCAGACCGGGCGTGAGAGCGCGCGTGCCCAGGGCTAGGTTCTAGTGGCCCTCCCTCACGGTTCCCAAGGCCGCCCTCTGTCACGTGGCCTGCGGGGCAGACAGGTAACTCGCCCAGAGAGGGCGGTGGCCAGTTGCCGCCCCGCCCCGCGGAGCGCCGCGGGCGGGTCTCAGCAGAGCCCACTGCGCCAGCCAGGCCGCAGGTGCCGCCCCCAACACAGGGTGTCCCGCCCAAGCCGATCCGCGTCTGCCGTCGGCCGGTGCGTGCGTGCGCTTCGTCGATCCGCGTGTGTCGGGCCAAGCGCCCCCTTCGTCTGCGGCCATGACTCCGCCGCCACCCCAGCCACCTCCCCCAGGTCCGATCCCCACCGCAGACTCCGCTGCTGACCCCCGTCCCGGTTCTGGACCACTGGTCGTACTGTTCGGGGCCACGGCCGGAGCGCTGGGGCCGGACCTGGGCTCCGACGAAACTGACTTAATCCTCCTAGTCTGGCAAGTTGTGGAGCCGCGGAGCCGCCAGGTAGGGTGGAAACGCGGCGGTGGGGTCTCCAGGGAGCTTCAGGATCCAAGGGGCGCAGTGATTGAGCTGTTTCTCCCGCTGCTTGCAGGTGGGGACATTGCATAAGTCACTGGTTCGCGCTGAGGTGGCCGCACTGAGCCCGCAGTGCCGCGAGGCGAGCGGCCTGAGTGCCGACAGTCTGGCGCAAGCCGAGCCGCTGGACAAAGTGCTGCAGCAGGTGAGCGCCGGGGCCGGGGTGACTGAAGGCACAGCCGGGCCACAGGAACATTTCTCTGCGGAAGAGGCGGCAGGAGGCGAGGCCTGGCGCGCCACAACCAACTGGCCCAGGCGGTAGGACGGGTTCCTGTTGTTTGAAACTTTCAGCGACTCCCTCGTGTGCGGGCCATTCCTGGGGGGCGTCTTTTCAGACTTCTCATTGATCCACTCCTACTGAGGGGGTGGAGATGGAGGCTGAGAGACCCCTCCCAGAGTACCCGGCATGCCGGGGAACTACGCTGAGACGCCTCTGGGAACCTGCCTGGCCAGGTGTCCCTGAACAGCAGCAGGAAGAAGAAAGGGACAAGGGGCCCAGACTTGGCCATAGGTCACTGTCCCTGCCGCTTGCGTCCTCGACCCACCCACCCGCCTGGGAGACGCTGGAGCGGGAGTGTAGGGCGGTGTCTGCCCCAGAGGCAGACGCCGCCAGGTGTAAGCTGCTCGTCCAGGCCTGTCCCGGCCGGCTGGCCAGGCGTGGGCGCTGTCCGGACCCCGCCTGGAGGCTACCTGCCTTCTGAGTGCAAAGGCCTGGGGTGCCTCCCTGCTCTGGTTGGAGTGGGAGGCGGTTCCCATTGCTATCTTCTTATCTTCCCTATGGCGTTCACCCTGTGCCTGACTCTTGAGTAGAATGAGTGAAAGTGCCAAAGCCTTTAATCTTCCAACAATTCTGGTGGTTCCTGATGAGGAAACAGAGACATAAAGATGTTGAATCTGAATCTGTTCCAGAAGCACTCCCAAACTAGGCCCCACTTGGAGAGTGTGCTGGGCTGCCTTGCTCTGCCAGGCTCAGATTGTAAAGCTGGGGTTGGGGGAGGTTTTTGGGCCTGTGGTTAGTGCTTATACCTGTTCTCCAGCAGGGACAGAGGATGGGGGAGGGGCCGGGCAGCTTCCCATTCTAAGAGCAAATAGGTCAGTGCCAGCCAGTCGATATGGTCTGGGTCAAAGCTCATGCTGCCCCTGGCGTCCAGGTGTGGAGCTCTGTCCTTGGAGTTTCTCTGCTCCTCGGTTGGTCAGACCTAGGGGCGGGGTTGCCATTGACCATGAGCAGGCTGGGCCTCAGGCAGGACTGGGCCTCCCCCACCTGTATGAGTTAGTGCCTGGTCAGGGACAGGTTTAACCTGCTTTGCCCCACCCCTTCCCACCTGCTTGTCCCACTACACCAGGTGTTTGCTCTGGCCCCACTCCAGACTCCTGGAGTGTGTGTGATGGGGGCTCGGGTGATATAGGACTGCCCCCTTTTGGCCTGGAGAAAGATGACAGTGGACTGGGAGAGAAGGAAGACACTGAGCCAGGCCCAGCAGGTGTGGCCACCTCCTCCTCAGGCAGGAAAGGGCTGAACATCTAGCTGAACCAGCTTTGCAAGCCTTCCCTCCCACCGCGCTGCCTAGCTGTGAGTCTGTCTGTCTCTTTCCCCACTCCCTATTCCCAGTTCTCACAGCTGGTGAGCGGGGATGTGGCTCTGCTGGGCGGGGGCCCCTACACGCTCTGTACTGATGGGCAGCAGCTGCTTCGACAGGTCCTGCATCCTGAAGCCTCCAGGAAGGTATGTCACCACTGAGGGCACAACAGGGGGTAGGGTTCCCAGGACTCCCATTGTCACAGGGGTGGGGCAGGGCAGCTCAGTTCCCCCCATTCATGCCCATTCCCGTGTGCCCCCAGAACTTGGTGCTCCCCGACACCTTCTTCTCCTTCTACGACCTTCGCAGAGAGTTCCATGTGCAGCACCCGAGCGCCCGCCCTGCCAGGGACCTCACCGTGGCTACCATGGCACAGGGTATCTGTGACCCAGCAGGGTTAGGAGGGAGGGTCGGTTGTAGGCTGAACGTGAGTATGTGCATGCTGGTGGGTTATATGAACTCACTCAAGTTTATATTACCTGCTGAGTCCTTGACTGCATGTCTCTGTCTATGTTGGGGCACATTTGGAATGTGGGCATACATCTACATATGTCAGGGCTGCAAAACTGTAAGGACATACATGAGCTAGGCCAAAACAAGTGTGTTTGCTAGGATTCTGCATGTCTATGTAGGGAACTTGAGTCTAGGTGGGACAAGGATTAGTGCTCATGCTAGTTGCCCTCTCATGCTGGGATTTCCTCATTGTTATTTCTCTGCTCATAGACTTGGGACTGGAAACAGATGCCACAGAGGATGATTTTGGGGTCTGGGAAGTGAAGACAATGGTAGCTGTCATCCTCTACCTGCTCGAAGGGCCCAGTGGTAAGGTTCCCCTCACCACCTGTCACCTGTTCTCAGGGATGGGTGAATGCCTACCTGTTACTTCCTCAAAGTTCCCCTCCCCATTTGTTATCTTCTCTGAGAGGCCACAAGATGAAAGCCCCTTTGTCACCTCCTTCTCCTTCAACTGTCCTCTTTTTGCAGAGCTTGGTGGGGAGAACCCCCTCCACCAGACCCTGCTGACCCCCATGCCATCTCCTCTCAGGTCAATTGTTTTCGAAGCCCGAAGTGGTAAAGCAGAAATATGAGACAGGGCCTTGGTGAGTGTGAGGGCAGTGGTTGGGGAGTCAATAGCTGGACAGCTCTGACTCTGTGCCCTGCCCCTACAGTAGCAAGGCTGACATGGTGGACAGTGAGACTGTGGTTCGGGCCCGAGGGCTGCCCTGGCAGTCATCAGACCAGGACGTGGCTAGATTCTTCAAAGGGCTCAACATCGCCAGGTGGGTACAGCAGGATGGGTGGGCCCAGGAGGGCAGGCCTACTCAGGAGGCACTAACACAGCACTGGCTCTGCAGGGGCGGTGTAGCACTGTGCCTGAACGCCCAGGGCCGCAGAAATGGTGAGGCCCTCATCCGCTTTGTGGACAGCGAGCAGAGGGACCTAGCACTGCAGAGACACAAGCACCACATGGGTGTCCGCTATATCGAGGTGGGGCTCTGGGCTTGGGAGTGGAGCAGGGCAGAGCTGAGGTGGGGCAGGCCAGAGACCCATGTGCTGCCCCTGCTGCCCCTACAGGTGTATAAAGCAACAGGAGAGGAGTTTGTAAAGATCGCAGGGGGTGAGTGTGCTCCTAACAGCACTTAGCTCCCCTTGGTTCTTGATCCAGGTCCTGCTTCCCCAATGCCCTTTTCCTTTCTCCTCCCCTGCGTGCCAGGTGTGGGTGGGTATTTGGAAAGGCACAAATGAAGTCAGAAGGTGACTTCCACGCCCCCCAACAAGGCACATCACTAGAGGTGGCTCGTTTCCTGTCACGGGAAGACCAAGTGATCCTGCGGCTGCGGGGACTGCCCTTCTCGGCTGGGCCGGCAGATGTGCTAGGCTTCCTGGGGCCAGAGTGTCCAGTGACTGGGGGTGCTGATGGGCTGCTCTTTGTACGCCACCCTGACGGCCGGCCCACTGGCGATGCCTTTGCCCTCTTTGCCTGTGAGGAGCTGGCACAGGCTGCACTACGCAGGCATAAGGGCATGCTGGGTAAGCGATACATTGAACTCTTTCGGAGCACTGCAGCCGAGGTGCAGCAGGTGAGCACCCAGGGCTCCCCTTACCCCCATGCCCTTCTTCAGGATGCCCCTTCCATCCTCTACTTGGCATGACCAGCCTGTTGCTGCCTTCCTTACTAGGTCCTGAACCGCTATGCATCCAGCCCACTCCTTCCCACACTGACTGCTCCACTGCTGCCCATCCCCTTCCCACTGGCCCCTGGAACTGGGAGAGATTGTGTACGCCTCCGAGGCCTGCCCTACACAGCCACCATCGAAGACATCCTGAGCTTTCTGGGGGAGGCAGCAGCTGACATTCGGCCCCATGGTGTGCACATGGTGCTCAACCAGCAGGTAAAGCTGCTGCCAGAGGGGTGGAATGCTTAGTTTGGGAGGGGTCTGTGGTTAGGAGTAAGGCACTCTTGCATACAACAGACTGCTTACAAGATGGTGTGCACAGGGCCGGCCATCGGGTGATGCCTTCATCCAGATGACATCAGCAGAGCGGGCCCTAGCTGCTGCTCAGCGTTGCCATAAGAAAGCAATGAAGGAACGTTATGTGGAGGTGGTCCCCTGCTCCACAGAGGAGATGAGCCGAGTGCTGATGGGTGGCACCTTGGGCCGCAGTGGCATGTCCCCTCCACCCTGCAAGCTGCCCTGTGAGTGTCCCAGGGGCTGAGGAAGAAGGAGGCACGTGGGGACCAAGCTGTTATAACCCTCACTTTCTGTGTTGGGGACTCTTTCTGGCTGCCCCACCCAGGGCAGTGCTGGGCTCCCTGCAGATGCACTCTCTACTTCTGCCTTTAGGCCTCTCACCGCCTGTCTACGCCACCTTCCAGGCCACCCCAACACTCATTCCCACTGAGACGGCAGCTCTGTATCCCTCTTCAGCACTGCTCCCGGCTGCTAGGGTGCCCGCTGCCCCCACCCCTGTTGCCTACTACCCAGGGCCAGCCACTCAACTCTACATGAACTACACAGCTTACTACCCCAGGTACCGTGCTGCTAAGAGAACTTCATAGTCTTGCCTCCTTGTCCTGGTTTGGGAGTGGGGTGGTCATGATCCCCTTTCTGGGCCAGATGACCCAAGGTCTGTTGTGGCTTGGACTTTATTCTGAGACAACAAGGGAGTGATGGGCTGACTGATGCCATCTACAAACTAGAATAGAGATGACTCTGTGCAGACTGGGGTTTTAGGGAAGAGGAAAGAAGAGGCAGGGAAGTCTTGGTCTAGGCCATAGGTGGGACTGCACTACTAAATCCCTGCCTCTCCCACCCCAGCCCCCCAGTCTCTCCCACCACTGTGGGCTACCTCACCACACCCTCTGCTGCCTTGGCCTCTGCTCCCACCTCAGTGTTGTCTCAGCCAGGAGCCCTGGTCCGTATGCAGGGTGTCCCATACACAGCTGGTATGAAGGATCTGCTCAGCGTCTTCCAGGCCTACCAGGTGAGGTGTGGCTGGAGGGCTTGGGAAACTGGCCGAGTCTGGAGCTCCCTGCCCTAAATCTCTTTCACTTCTGCAGCTAGCCCCTGATGACTACACCAGTCTGATGCCTGTTGGTGACCCACCTCGCACTGTGCTACAGGCCCCCAAAGAATGGGTGTGTTTGTAGGTGAGGGATCCAGGAGGTAAGAGCTGGCTGATGTCCTCAGCTAATAGGTCTCTCCTGCATCCAGAGAACCAGGACCCTCAACCTGGTGGCTTCTTTCTGGCTTGTCAAAATTCTCAGAAGGCACCATGAGGAGCTCAAGCCCCAGCTCCATTCCCCACTTATTGCCCTACCTGTTTACCGCAAAGATGATGGCTGGACCCTGTATGCAGGGCTTGGGGTGGAATGGCGCTACCCTGCTCCCAGTGGTCTGATCTGGGCCTCTTAGGTAGAACCCAGAGAGCCATTGGTCTGTTCTGGCTATGGCCCATGCCCACAGAATCTGTAGGGCTGATGTCCACAGCAGGCTTGCTTTCTTTTTAAAAATGTGAGCTCTGGTGCCTTCAATGTATGACTCCAGGGAGCTTCTGAGTAAAGATCCCAATGTTCTACCTTCCCCTGTCCTTTCTGGTGGGGGACAGGGAGGCAGAGAGTGCTGGCCCGAGCCCCCATGGTACTTGGATCTCGGTGGCCACATTGTGCCAGAGATGACCCCACCTGAGGATGCTAGCCCTCCAGCTTGGCACAAGGAGTTATCAGATGGCAAAATCACAGGCTGTTTTGATGGACTGTACTGCAGTATCCCCAGAGGACACTAGGGGGCAGGAGGCCCTCACGAAAAACTCAGGCTTGACTTACAGGGGATTTTCTGCCTACTTTTCATGCACACCTTGGGCAGGCCAGTTGTCCTCAACTCAGCAGACACCTTGGAATGCCCTTTGCACTCATTAGAGGGTGCAGAACTGAAGCTTCTGAAGGAATGTGGAACTCTACCCTCTCCTCCGTAAAATAAACAAAGGTTCCTAACTAAGTGGACTTTTTAAAAGCCAAAGTGCCCTTCACTTTGGCTCAGAGTGAGGGGCTCCACACCAGCCCCAGGCGGAGGAAAACTCAGGCAGATTTCAAGAAGACTGTTGACCTGTCACCGTTTATTATTTCAGCACTGTAACTGAGGAGCCTGAATTGCTGGCTCTTCTTCCCTTTGTATTTGTGTAAGGAGCACTGTACTCCTATAAAAGGTTTTAAAATACAGACTGTACAAGAAAACACAATCTCAAGTGCTGTAAACATAACTGAGAACCAGTTCCTTAACACCATCCATTTTACAAAATACAAGGTTTCAACTTGAGCCCTTCTGAGCCTTACGGATAACCATCTGTTCTAAGTATCAAAGCCAGGCTTTACAGCCAGACCCAGCAGAGCTCTGGTGATAGTGGCTACCCCTAGACAGGAGTGGGATGCACCCTGGGCAGCAGCACCACACGCAAACCCAAAGACATCTGTTCCTTTAAAAGCTGTTTTCAGTCATGTTTCTCTGTGTATCTCCAGTATATAGAAGGCTACTCATCCCATTCCTCAACCCAAGATCTATCCCGGGTTGAAGGGAGAAGGGGTAGGTGCTAGCACATGCCCAGTTGCTCAGTGCTGTTACTAGAAATCCATTTGCATAGTCCAATGGATGTGTGCTTTAACATCACTATGTTGCACAAAAATTAAGGTCTTTATCTACAAAGCCAAAAAATACTGACTCTTACACCAAAGCTTTTACAAAGCTGATACAAAACTGCTTATGTAGTATACAAATCTCTATTTTAAAATTTAACTTTTATTTTAAATAGGAAAGCATTTCTAGTGCTACAGGCATCAAGGTATTTAAAAGGCATCAAAATTTGGTGCATAGCAACTCTGGATCGTAGAGGCTTTTGTTTTTGAGGGCGGCAGAGCAACCCCCAAAGGGTCTTGCAAGGGGAGCTCTTGCAAGAACCGCATGTGAGGCAGCTACACCGGGGACAAGAGGGTGGAGGCAAGTCTGGCCAGTTCTCTGGAACTTCATCTCAGGGGCCAGCCCCCTACAACCCCTCCAAAGGAAGCTCTGGGCTTCCAACCACAGGCCCTGAAACAAGTCTCACTATCTACACTCCGTGACACAAAACTCTCTTGCAAAGAAAATAAGGAAACATTGGGCTCCAAGAGGGATTAGAGTGATCTGCTGAAGGACAGGCATTTTTCTCTAACTAGTTTTAGGGAGAAATCTAAAACAACATGGTTTAAAGGAAAAGAAAACATACTTCCTCATTCTGGATCAACAGCTCCTACCTAGCTGACTAGAGGTGGTGGGCAATGAGCTGGCTCCCTCCATCCAGGCCTTGCTTGGCCTCAGTAGAGAGTCCTGGCATCTAGGACCCACAGTCCCCTGGAATAACAGCATCAAGTCTTTGACCAGCCCAGCACACTGTCTCACACGTAGGCACTCAAAAAATTTGCTTCCTGAATTAAAGTACATTTGAAAACATACTGCAAACTTCAGGGGTTTTGAAAAAGGACCAAACCTTGGACTATGATATCAACCCCATTAAGGAGAGGGGCAAGGGCAGGGTTTGAGAAAAGCACCCAACTTGGGCACCTCCTTTGGTAGACAGCAGGCTGGAGTTTCTTGCTGGCCCCATGTTAGGCACAGCAGCAGCACCAGGGCATCTTTGGTGTGAAGGGTCAGGTCTATGATGCTACCTCATTTTTGGATTTGCCTCAAAGCCTTTTGGAAAAGGCCATGCAGATGGGGCAGGATAGGCCAGAATCATTTTAGGCTGTAAACAGAATGAGGGGAAAGCCTTCTATGCCAGTGCGAATCTTACAAGCTTCCCATCTTAAAAGCTTCCTGCATGTTCTCTGCTCCTGTCCTGAAGCAGAGCTCATTGTGCTTAGCTTCTAACACAGCTTGGCCTCTAGAGATAAGCTAGAACCAGCAAAATTGCCTAAACCATTATGAGACTCATGAGACTGTGGCTTCAAAAGTTACAGAGGAGCCAAATGCAGATGCTCCCACTTGGAAAACGTCTGGGCAAGAGGACACAAAAGGGAAGAGTACTCCACAGCCTACCTATTTATAGGATGGCAGGAAATTAAAGCTGCCAAGCTAAAAAACCCCACCTTCCAAAGTCACCTTACATGTAGTTATCTTACCCAAGGCCCTGAGGGAAAAAAGCAGTTTCAACATGGAGACAGTACAGAGAGATTGCAGGAAGATTACTTAGAAAGTTACAAAAAGGCTATGCTCTGGAATGTCGTTTTATATTCCAACACTTCAATGATTGGAATGGTCTCTTCTCTTTTATCTAACAGTTTACTTTTATAAAGAGGTATGAGCTACATTTGGCTTTATTTCCTATGAATCTATGAAAGGCTTCAGGACACATGCTGAGTTTCTGAGGCAAAGGTGTAGGCTTGGGAGGTTTTTTTTTTCTTTTTTTTTTCTTTTATATTTGCTTCTGGAAGGTTTTATCAAAAGTTTCTACTTTAAAAATATCATCAAAGCTAAAGGGTCCTTTAAATGACCACAAAGCAGTACAAATCACCAATCCTAGCTAAGCAACCAGGTCACCTGCAAAAGCAGCACCTCTGAAATGGAGAGCCTGCTGCATTCACACTCAAAGCACCCATCATATAAAAGTATCCTATTTAAATATAAAAAGCAAAGCTCATTTTCCCAAAGCTCAAACAGCCTGTGCTGCAGCTGTTCTTTTACAAAATCTACCCAAGGCCTGAGTTGGAGGAATGCTGCTTTCCCCACATAAGGTGATCCCAACTCCTGGCTCCATCCTGAAGGTTGCAGAGTTGGAAACCCAAGGTCCGAGGAAGAAACATGAGAAGTATGTGAAGGTGGACACAAGGCTGCAGTGAGCACTGTTAGAGCCCGTCGGATCTTCCTAAATCCAGGGAATCGGGACCTGGGAGGGGAGCCTGCCTGCTCACCCCTGTTCCTTGGGAAACAGAAATCTGGGACATGTCTCTCCCAATTATCTCGTTCACTGAAAAACAAGAAAAGGGAGAGCAATTAGTGACCTCTGAATGACTGACCATATGATGCTCAATGCCAAGCTCTACTTCAAAGACATTTTTTCCCTTTCCATGGCTTCCTATAAAGGTAAAGGCAGTGCTTGAAGCCTGCTCTTGAACTGAATGGAAACATCATTCCAAAAGTTCCAGACCGCCCCCCTTCTCTCCCTTTCAGTTCAATTTCGGTTGGAAGGAGGATGGCTGAGAGAAAAGAGAAACATTCTTATTGTCACTCTAAAGGCTCTTGCTCTAGAGCAGAGGGTAGGATACTTTTGAAATGTGTTATCTTAATCTAACATCTGACTTTTCCTTAATTTGCATCCCTTTAGGAGAGTTTCCCCTTTCTTATTCCTGCAGTGTACCTTGTATATAAAGTGAATAAAAATAAATGCTTTGGTGAGAGTAAACCACTGAGATTTGGGGGTTTTGTTACTCTATGCTAATATGAGCATCCTTTAGTATGTGGAGGCATTTGTATTGTTTCTGATCCTTTCAGAAAAGACTCTTGATTTTGCTGGTTTCTATGATGTGCCAAGCATCTCAGGGAGCATAGTGTTCTGTGAGGTCCAGTGCAAGTAATTTCAATCCTAAAGAACTAATATGGAAATGAACACCCCAAATGCTTCAAATAAGAAACTTTAGTTCTCTCACCATTCGCTTTGAAATGAAAATTCTTTGCTTTATCAACTAAAGAGTCTATACTAATTCTACTCCTAGTTCTATACTCAAGAGAACTGAAAACATATATCCACATAAAAACTTGTACTCAAATGTTCAACAGAATTATTCATAATAGCCCCAAAGTGGAAACAACCCAACTGTCTATCAAGTGATGAATGTATGAACAAAATGTGGTCTATTCCAGAGTGAAATGTTAGTCAGCCCTAAAAAGGAATGAAGTTCTAATACATGCCACAACACGGATGAACGTTGAAAACATGCTAAGTTAAAGAAGCCAAACACAGAAGGTCATATATTGATTCCATCTGTATAAAATGGCCAGAACAGGCCAATCCACGCTGACAGAAAATAGATAGGTGGTTGGTTGGTTGCCAGGCAATACGAGAAGGAAGGAAAGGGGAGTAACTGCTAAGGGGAATGGGGTTTCTTTCTGGAGTAATGAAAATGTTCTAAAATTAGATAGTGGTGATGGTTGCACAACTCTATGAATATACTAAAAACCACTGAATTGTGTATTTTCAAGGATGAATTTCATAGTAATGAATTATATCTCAACACAGCTGTTATAAGCAAAAATAGACCAAGACAAACATTTTTTATAATTAGCATGTGAAGTGGTCATAGAGCAAAGGACACACTAACCATAGCTTAGAAAAACCTTCATGTATTAATATCTAATCTTTTATAGTTTAGATAGTTAAGAAAAAAATTCTTCAAACTCATATACTCATTACGGCTGTAAGGAGAACGGAACTAACATTCATTCCACAAATATTTATTGAGCATCCATGGGTTAAATTTACAATGGAGAATTTATATCTTATTTCAATTAATCTTGACGATATTTTACGATCATTACTACCCCACTTTACAGATCAGTTAACAGAGGCTTTGCCAGTTCACACAATTTGCTTAGCAAATGGTGAAATCAGTTTCAAAAATACCTGTTACTTCTTGAAAACCAAAAGAGTAGAAAGAGCAAGGAAATCATTTAGACAAAGAAAATGCAAAGGACCTGGACAAATGTGATAGCAGGGGAAGGACAGTGAGTATGGTGACAGTAAGAAGAGGGCAAGAGGGAAGGAGGACTGATTCACCACTACCACCAAGGTTTTAAGTCAAGGAAGAATAGTGCTGTAACTATTGGAAATAAGCTGAGGAGGAATCTAGAGGACGAAAGTGGTAGCTTAGGTCTGGAATGGGATTTGGAAATGAGAACACTCAAATGAAAAATCCTGTGGGTAAGGGACTACAGTGAATAGTCAAAGCAAGAAGAGATTTAGGTACCTCCTAACTAAAGACCTAGAAGTATGAGAGAAGTTTCACAGTTCACTGAGAAGAAGGCTGAAAAAAAGTGGGAGTAGCCTTGCGATCTGATAAGAAAATAAGACCTGAGAAAGCAAATATGTAAGCAGAAGAGTGGCCTAGAAATTAGGTTTGGTTTGAATACACACTCTGCCACTAACTCCATGTGTGTCGCTGGACAAGTTACTTCATATATCTAGGACTCCATTTCCTTATCTATAT